TCACTACTTAGTTTATTTATTTCTCTAGAAATAAAAGACCCTAAAGTTACCAAAAAGAATGTTGCAAACTCTTCTTTTTAATAACACTCTAACTTAGTAACTGCATATGCACAAGGAGCTGGCATCACTACTATACATATCACTAGATAATTATGTTTGTTTAACAAACTTATAAAAGTTTTATTTTCCCTTCAGAAAATATTTTGTTTCTTTTCTGTTTAGAGGCAGCTTGGTAAAACAGCTAATTCCTAAGATTTCTTAGTAGTGTGTACTGCATAACATACACATTATCTATGATCTTGAGTGATGAATAAAGTATACTGATCTATTCCATATTCTTTATAGCAATTAAAACAGAGCAAACTAGCCTTAGTTAAGGTGTAATCCTTGGCTTTGAAAACACTAATTTCTGATCCTTATTATGTCAGATTCTTAATTTGTTAATGAGAATAGTAATTGCCACATCACACTGTTGTGAAGCTAAATATGATAAACGTGATGTGCTCAGCTACTGTAGTGAAGAAAAATAATAAGGGCACTACTCTTTAAAGGACAAACAGATGAGTTCATACATGTTAAAGGAGTGGTCTTAGGGCCTTTGAGTGTTTTCTTCAAGATACAGAACAATATTTACTGTTTAAAAATTTTCCCTTTAAGAGAATTTACACTTGTGTCACTTTTTCCTCTTTAGGAAAGCTGTTCTCATTTAGTGGCTTCTACTCCAAAATTATATTCAAAGAAAGTTATCTGTAGGAGAATCCACTAGAGCTATGAAACAAAATACAGCGACACCTGTGCTTGTGCCTGACCTGTGTGCACAGGGGCTTTATGAAGACCACTAGTTTCAGCAGGAGTCAGATTGGACCCTATAGGCCCAACCATTTGGATCAGTGAAATAATACTTTTTTTTTTTTCATCAATAGCATGTTTCTTCTAGGTGTGGTGAGAGGAACACAAGACACCTAGGTACTAAATGCAATATCCCCTCTGCTGCAAATGAATAAAGTTCACTGAAACAAACTATTCTTGTATGCTTTCTTTCTTGCTTATGCTTTTGTTGGCTCTTTTCAGCCAGTGGACAGTTTTGTATGTTGTGATGTTACTTTTCCTATCAATTCATTTACTCTAGATTCTGAGGAGAATTGCTAAAGAACTTTGGAATCTTCAGATATACAACAAAGATTAAAACCTTACCTGTTCGATCAGTGGGACTATTGTGACCAACTTTGGCAAGGCATGGAGTTCATCCAATGCAGTAAGAATAAAAATATCCTTCTGTATGCATCTTATTGATTACCTTTTGTTGGCCTTTTTGCCAAAAGTTACAGGAGTACAGGGAAAAAGCAAGAAAAAATTTTTAAAAATTATAGAAATGGTGTGTGTGGGGGGGGTAAACAAGACTAAGGAGCAAGAAAGGAGCCTCAGCTGCAGGGAATAACAACTTCAATATTGCTAAGATCAACTGCATTTTCCACTACTGTGGTTTTAAAAAGCAGATATAGTTTTGAAATGATCCTTTATCAAAAACAGAACTGCAAAATATTTTTTGTGTACATCAGTAAACATATATTTAAGAGAAAAAACCCACAAGCTACAAGGTATGAATGAGAAAAAACTCATAGTCAACTTCTGTGACATTTGACATCACATAAACCCCCCCAAACTCTGGTTTACTAAATTCATACCGCAAACCCACCTAAAAGAGAATGTTGTAGCTTTAATGAAATGCATTTACAAGCTTAGGAACTAATAGTGTCCTATTCCAAAAATCTACAAAACAAGACAAATTGAGAGTAGGCAAACTTTTTCTGCTATATACTGCAGGTAACTATAATAATTGACAAAAGCAAATATTCTATTGTCTGCAGAAATCGTTGGACAACAACATAATACAACAGAAAAGAAAACCTCAAAGTGCATTGGAAATGGCAAATTCAGGCTATAGTTTTTCTGGTCTTTTTATTCAGAAGTTGAAGTGATTTTTTGGTTTACAATGACATACAGAACTGAAGAAATGTTCATCTATAAAATATAATTCTTGTGCAAAATAATAATATGTAAATAAAATAACTAAAGGCACTTCCACTTTTTAAAATGCAGGATTAATCGAGTCTGTAAAATAAGCGCCTATGTCGAGGAAGTGCATGTTGATCTCCAACTATCATTTTCTATCAGAGTCCAAAAAACTGAGGCAAAGGCAAGGATGACACAAGGCCATAGGAAAACCTAGTCGCACACTTCATTTAAGCACTTTACCCCCGCATCTACACAGCTTTGTTACAAAGAGCATCCATCCGTCCCACAGGTCCCGGACTTTCTGCCGCCCCCGGCCGCTGGTAACCGCTTGCCATCGGTGCGGCCGCAGTCGACAGCGGCTCCGGGTAGGGCTCAGCTCCCGGGCCCGCCCGCAGGGAGCCTGCTCAAGGCGGTGGCTGCCACCGGACAGAGCCCAGAGCAGCCCCCTCGGGGTCTGCCGGTCGCGGGTGGGACCCCCAGCCGAGAGCGGCGGCCCGGGATGCTGCTGCTGCTCGCCCTCCCACACCTTCGCACTGGCACCCTCGCGACTCGGGTTTCCTACTCTCCCTTTCCGCCAGACCCAAGTGCAGGAGTTTCCCCCGGACAAGTGCAGCCACATGCGGGACCACCCCCTCAACAGCTCCACGCCGGGACAGAGGCGCGGGCCGGGTCGGGACGAGCGCGGCGCCCCCACTTTCCCAACCAAGCGCAACTTCGCAGGGCGGCGGCGGGCGGGCCCGGCCCAGCCCGCCCCCCACGGCCGGGCCTCTCCCGGCCCTCCCGCGAGCGAGGGGCCACCATGTGCATCCCCCACCCCGCGCTTCCCTCCCTCCCTCCCCTTCCCCACCGCCTGCGCAGGCAGGATGCGCGCGGCACCGCCATCCCCCGGCGGGAGCCGTGCGCGGTGCGGTGCGGTAGGGCGGGCGCCCCGCTCCCCCGCCGCGGCCCGGCCCCAGCGGAACGGCGGAGACAAAGTTTGCGGCGGTGTCGGCGGTGCCCGTGCAGCGCGGGGCAGGCCGGGGGAGCGGCGGCTCGGTGCATGCCTGGTGCGTGGATGAATCGCAGCAGGCGGCGGCGGGCGGGGGCGGGGGCCGCGGCCGGCGATTGGGCGGCGCGGCGCTCGGAAGCACTTTGTTTTCTATTCTAATGAGGGCGGAGCGGGGCTTGTGGATATTTACGTTGAGGCGGGAGCCGCCGCCCTTCATTCACCCACATGGTCCCCGAGCTTGGTCGCTCCTGCCGCCGGGACCTGCCTTCGCGCCACTTCCCTCCCCCTCCCCCGCCTCCCACCCCCCATCCGCCCCGCCGAGGAGCGGAGCGGCTCCTCTCCGCCGGGCCGGCCACGCCGCGCCGGGGCCGCGGGAGGAGGAGAAGGAGGAGGAGGGAAGATGGTGGCGGCGGCCGCTGGCTGGTGAGTGTCGCTGCCGCGCGCGTGTCGCTGACAGGAAACCTGTTGTGAGGCGGCGGCGGCCGCTCGGCGCGGGGGGCGAGCCCGGGGAGGCAGCGCGGGGACGGGGGGCGGGCGGGCGGCGCGGGGGGTGCTGGCGCGGCCGCAGCGAGTGGCCGGGGCGGCAGGAGGAGGTGTAGGTGGGTGGCGGGGGGAGCCGGGAGCAGGGCGCATGGCAGCGGCCGCCGCGGCGGCGGCGCCTCCCGAGCTCGCACACGGGGCGGGAGGGGCTGGAATGAGGGAGATTTGAAAAAGCGTGCGCGCCGCTCGCCGCTGCAGTGAGTCCCGCCGCCCCCTTCCCGCCCCCCCACCCCCTCCCGCCGCGCTCCGGGCCTGGGGCGCCTCGCCGGGCCGGGGCGGCGCGGGGAGCGGCCGAGCCCCCGGGGCGGGCAGGGCAGGGCAGGGCGGCGTGCGCGGCACAATGGCAGCGGCGGACGGGGGTGGGCGCGGACGGGGGTTCTGCCCCCGCGGGCCGTGGGGGGAAGGCCCGTCCGGGAAAGTTTGCGCTGTGCACGGCGCGGCTGCGGGGGGGAGCTGGCGGCGCCAGAACAAAGCCGCACGTGGGGCAGAGGCCGCGGCGGCGGCGCGGGGGCTCCGCTCGCCGCCCACGCCCAGCTCGGGGAACGGCAGCGGCGGTAAAAGAGGCGGCGGGCGGGGAGGGACGGAGGGGAGGGCGCGGGCCGCGTGGGGGCTCTCGGGGAGTTCCCAGCGAAGGCGCTTTGTGCACCGTCGCCCCCCCGGGAGAGGTGGCGCGGGGCCCCAGGGAGGGGGCAGCGCCGCGGGCTGCGAGCGCGTCCCGGGCCCCTCCGCATGGGCTTTTGTTCGCCGGAGGGGCGGGGGCGGCGGGCCCTCCTCTTCCCCCCCCACCCCCCCTTTCCCGGTACCCCCCCTTTCCCTGCCGGAGCGCAAGGCCTCCCGCCTCTCCCGGGCAGGCGGGCAGAGGACAGCGGACAGGCCCCGCACCGCCGCCGCCGTTCGGGAGCCGCGAGCTTCATTACGAAATCGGCGCGGCGGCGGCAGCTGCGGGGCCTCGGCGGCGCCATGTTGCTGGGAAGGGGGAGGAGGCGGGGGACATGGCGGCGGCTGCGTGCTGGGGCCGATTGTTCCCTGTTAGGCCCGGAGCCGCGTGTGGGCAGCGGAGGCCCGGGGAGCCGCTTCCCATCTCCCCGCCGCGGCCCCTTCCCCGTGCGGGCGGCCCCCGGGAGCGGGCGGGCGCGGCCTTTTGGCGTGGCTCGGGCTGCGGGGCTCGGCGGGGCCCGGGCGGGCGGGGGGGGCGTCACGCCGTAGCCGGGCTGTGACCTCCGCGCCGCCGCGGCGGCGCCCCCTGGCGGTCGGCCCTGTGTTCTCGGCGGAGCACGTGCTGCGCTGTGCGCGAGCGGGAGCGGGCCCGGCCCGGGCACGGCGGCTCCGCCGCCCCCGGCCCGGCCCTCGCGAGGGGGCCGCGCGGAAGGGCTCCCGCCGGGGCGCAGCGGGGAGCGACTTCGCGGGAAAAGGGGTGAGCCCGCGTGCGGGATGTCGCACGAGGCGGTTCGTGGCCGCCTGAGGGGCTGCGGAGCGTTTCCCGCCCTGCTGGGGGGTGGAGTGGGGACGGGGAGCCCTGGGTTGTGGAACTTGCCTGCTCCTCGGTGACTTTGTTCGCTCCTCTGCGATAAAAAGCAGATAACTCGGTGGTTTTTTTCGCAGTATCGACATGTGCAGCAGGACATAATGAAGCTTTATGTGGATGTTGCAGCAGTGCGTGGAGGAAGTTCCTTTTAACGGATGATGGTAAGTTTTTATTTTATTTTATTGGAATATCGAGGCATAACCAGTTCTTTTGAGGCTCAGGCTTAGACTTCAGTGAGGACCACTAAATTCCAAAGAGTTCCTTGGGATTGGAGGTATGTATAGCAGTCCACAGTTTCACTCATTTAGAGGAGAATAGTGCAAGTTTCTCAAGCACTCATTTGTTCAACTAAAGCAGCTGGACAATGAGAAAGTTTTAAAAACGTTTAAATTTGATATTTGGGATTTTTTTTTTTCTTTGATTAAAGGTCCTTTTTCAGTCAGTCTAGCAGAAGTTTTATTGTAGTTTCAAAGTACTGTATTAAGCTAGCTATAAGTATCAGGCAAGGGAGACTATGTTTACATGTTCTTTCAAGTCCATATTCCTATTGAAGAAAGAATAAAATGTTTTTTTCAAATTTTGAGTATAGCACTGTCCTGCTTTACTGAACCTCAGGTCTTTAACAAGTAGCTGTAATTTGGTTGTGGTAGTATATTTTACGACCATCATTAGTAGCTGTTTTCTGTTGTTCGATAGTCTAATCTAAATACCACAATAGGAATTGTAATTTGAGACAGGGTATCTGTGGCAGTGGTAGCAAATATTCTAACTGGACAGCAAAGAGTGTAATTGGAAAACTTAGAAGGCCACTTGGCATTTCATAAGATGCTTTCTGGACTTCAGAAAGCTGGTGGTATTATGTGTTCAATCTAATTTTAAAATTCCTGGTGTCCTGGAAATGCATAAACTTTGTTTAAATACTTATTGGCCTTATAATTTGTTTTATTTTAATTGAGAGAGTTGGTGGAAGCTCTTAGCAAATTTCAGATTTGTCAATGAAAACTCAGTTACTTTTACCTCCCCAAAAGTATGGGAGAAGCATTTAACTAATTTTCACACTTGAGCTCTTCTGCTGTCAGTCAGCATTTTGATACTCCTGGTATCGCTTATGAGTGTCCTGGATTGGGCTGATGGGCTGCTTGAGCTTACTCTGAAGGAGGTCTTTAGCCAAGAAGTGCAAATATTTGTTCCAAAGCTTGCAATTCTAATCCTGATCAAAGACTCACTTTGTTCTTTTCTTTCAGCAGGTACAAGGTAGACAACGTATCTTGAATTGCTAAAAAAACGCTGTTTGCGTCAGAGTAATGTCAAAGTGCTTACAGTGCAGGTAGTGATATATAGAACCTACTGCAGTGAAGGCACTTGTAGCATTATGTTGACAACTGCCTCAGGAGATCTCGCAGGACTTCAGAGAACGGAAAGGTACAGTGTGGTGCTGTCAAGTGCTTTTTGTACTAAGGTGCATCTAGTGCAGATAGTGAAGTAGATTAGCATCTACTGCCCTAAGTGCTCCTTCTGGCATAAGAAGTTATGTCTTCATCCAGTCACTCAGGTTAAGACTGTAGATGTTCCAGTAGTTTTCTGTTAGTTTTGCATAGTTGCACTACAAGAAGAGAGTGGTTGTGCAAATCTATGCAAAGCTGATGGTGGCCTGTTATAATCTACATCAAGAAGTTGGAACGCTTTCTGCTGGTTATGGGATATTTTGTGGCCTTCCTTATTTTAACAGCAGTCTAGTGAATGACAGCTCTTGTAGCACTAAAGTGCTTATAGTGCAGGTAGTGTTCACTAATCTACTGCATTATAAGCACTTAAAGTACTGCTAGCTGTAGAACTACATGTTGTGTCATACAATTTATTTGTTGTTTAATTGAACACTGTTCTCTGGTTAGTTTTGCAGGTTTGCATCCAGCTGTATGATACTCTGCTGTGCAAATCCATGCAAAACTGACTGTGGCAGTGACAAGTCAGTCAGTGAGTGTGGAAAAATTATACCCCTTTCTACACAGGTTGGGATCAGTTGCAATGCTGTGTATGTCTGTGGTATTGCACTTGTCCCGGCCTGTTGAGGTTGGTGGGGATAGAGGCTGAAACACCTTTGTAGCTTTAAGGAATTTCTCCTTCACTGATCCGTGAAACTTAAAATTTCTAAGTTTCTTGAAAAAATGTCATGTAATTCTCTGTGTAACCAGACTTTCATTTTTTTGTATCTGGCTTCTTTTTTGTATATATTGTATTTGTCGCTGACAGTATGTATTTCTGAAATTCTTAATTGTGGATTATTTTTCTTTAAGGTTATTATTACTTTTCTATTAAACTGAGGTGGATGCTTGTTTACAGTTTCCTCATGAATTTGTTGGGAAGAAATGGATCTTGGGTATCAGAAAATCTGGATGAAAGTTCTATTCTAACTTGTTTGCTGTAAGCTTGCTTTGTAAATTTGAATTACATGAAAGATTCAGCAGCATTCTTTTGTAATGCTTCTTATCATATTGCAACTCTCTATGTTCTAAATGATAGTAGAGTGCATTTTTAGCCTTAGTTCTTCCATCCAGAATTTGTCAAATTCAAGAGTAATAAATGAGATTACAGGTAGAGCTTTAATCATTCGTTGGCTATGAAGTTTTTAATAGTCAGGTGTCAGCTTCTTGTGGAGTATCTACATTCATGGTTAGTGTAACAGTGGCCAACTCATAACCTTTTGAGTGAATTACTTAGCGTGTGATGCATAGCAATGATATAAAACATCTCTTGAGCCTCCTGAAGAATTTATCTGAAGCAAAACTGATCCAAATAACTGCTTCAGAGAAACTGAGATTGGTTGGGGAAGACATGGTAAGGAACAGTCACTAAAATGTGCAAGTGGAACATTCAGCCCATCTTGCTTTTTTTTGAATGACTGCACTTTAGTAATCTACACTTGTAGCTCAAACATTAATGGGTTTAGTTCTAAAACAGGCTTCCAGAGGACTAATGCCTTAAATTCAAAACACTCATATTGCTTCTTAAAGCTGCCAGACCCTATATAGTACTCTAAAGCAAAGTAGAGTTCCTTTGTGGTAGGAAAATTAAGAATATTTGGGTCAATGCTGCCCTTGATGTTCGTGCTTCAAATTAAAATGGAATACAAAGCTCAGTGGGTCATTCATGAGAGTGTTGAACACTATATTGCAATGCTGTCTTGCAACATTACTCTGTCCTCTAGCAAGATGTTGAAAGTTCTTAAATGGCTTTGGCATCTTTGGGTTTCTTTCTGAAGTAGCCAAGCCAACTTAAGCTTTTACTACATGCTGCTCGGTTTCTGCCCCTTTTTCTTTCTGTCTGTTTCTGTAGAATGTATAGCTCAGATAGGTTTCTTGTACAAAATATTCTTTTCCCAAGCTTAAAATTTTCTTCTTAGTCTTGTTGGTTAGAGAAAGCTTGTGTGTCCATGAAGTCAGCAGATAAAGAAAACTGTCTTGTCCTGATTTCTGTATGATAAGTGTCTGGTGATGGCAGGTTTAACTCTTTTGAGTGTAAAAGCAGCATTATTAAAAAAGTTAAAATTCAGGAAGCATTTTAATATCTGATCATATTTATGCTGCCATGTAAGTATCAAGTTTTGAAATGTCTGAAGATGTATATTACAGTTTTAACACTGCAACTTGTTTAAACCAAGTGCTTGCACAAGCGGTTTTTGTGCCCATGGAATCTTAAATTGTGTATCAGGTATGTTGCAGTGTATGTAGTTTTAATATCAAACCATGTGACATTTGTAAGGGTTTCCATTAACTTCATTGTTTAATTGCCTGGACTTTTAATTCAGTTATTTACTGCAAAGTAAATAACTTTTACATGGTGCAAGTCTGAGAAATTATTTTGTAACAGTCATACAGCAGTTTAAAGACATGGTAAGCTCTGCCTTAGTTAAGGAGCAATTACAGCACTGCTTTTGTAAGATCAGTCTTACTTGCATGCTTTCAATACAGTATTGGCTTATTGATTGTATAACTTAGGTTATCAGAAGTTTCAAGTTGGTCACATGCTGTTTTTGGAAAATAACCTGTAATACTTTATAGTCTGTTTCATCTAATTCAAATGCATCAGTAGTGTTCTCATGGATATGTAATCAATGGATATAGTCCTGTCTTAGTCCTGTTTTACATCTAGTTCTGTGTATATTGTTGGGTTTTTTTCAGTCCTTTGAGTGTTTCCTCAAATAATTGTTAACTGTGTATGTTGGTTTCAGTGTAGCTAAGACACTAAACTAGTTGACAGAAGACTGAAGAGATAGAAGTAATGCTGCTGAGTTCAGCTGGTTTTACTGAAATAAGTTGAGCCTTACCACTGATGTTGGTGTAGCAGATCTGACTAGAAAGGAGTGGTTAGATAGCTAAAACAAGTGCCAGTTATTTAATCCTTCAGAAATAGGAAGAGGCATTTTCTGCAGCTGTATTTAGCTTTGTTAAAACTGTCACATGTATGGAAGGCATATTTTTACTGGCTTTGATACAGGTAATCATTTTTCAAGTGAACTGCTATGAATTAGTCTGAGACACAGGAGCTTCTGGGAGATTGGTGCTAATAAGCCTGCGTGGATTTTTAGGAATTGTTTAAAGTGACATAATTTTTCTCAAGTGTATTATTCAGGAAGGGCATAGCTTAGTCTGTCTTGCTAAACAAAAAGTAAGAAATTCCAAGCAGTATTAATACTTCCCTGTAGTTCTGGTATAGCACAGTTAGCCTTATAAGGAAAACCTTGTCTGTTAACTGTAGAAAACTCTATACTCTTAAAATCTGGAAGCATGCTGGGAAATGAGCATTTTTTTTACTGATTTGACACTGGATGATGCTGAAAAGCCAGCTCAGTTCTTTAGAATTGACTTTCTTGTGCTGACTTCAGAATACCAAATCAACTAGTGAGATGACTGTCCGGAACAGGCATTTCGAGTAATAGCTTGTTCATAGGCATTAAATGAACAGGACTAGAAGAGAACATCTCCTGCTGTGCTGACACAGAGTTGGATCTCTCACACATAGCTGAGATGCTACCATGAGAAAACAAATGCAAGACTACCATGTTCTGCAGTACATCCATTGTATTTGTATAGTTCATAAGTGGTCTTGTCTACAAAGTCTTACTTGGTAAAGACCACAGCTTGCTTCACATCTGGGACTCGCTGGGCTTTGTTTCCACACCACCTCTTTCTTCCTTTATCCCTCCCTCCCCCAGTCACTAAACTAGAATTCATTCCCTGGAACCTTTTCTGTGTCTGGTTCTAGTAGCATTGGATGAATAGGCAAATAGCATTCAGTATATAAACCACAGAAATGTCATGGGTACAGGAGATTAAGCAAGTGAACCTTAAGTAATGGACTGCATCATGTTGTGATTCTGCTCTGAAGAGTAAATTTCTGGTAATTCTCTTTTGTGTCACCTTTTTGAATGATGTCTAAAGGAGAAGACACTGGGGAGAAAATAAATGTGTTGTTAAAAGAATTCTCTACTTTTACTATATCGTATTCTTTCTGATGGGTTATCTGCTACACTTTTATATCAGTACAACATCTGTCTTCATTGATAATGGTCAGCAGGAGAAGAAGCTGTTAATTTGGTACATGAGAATTGTCAGTCTGGAATCAGTGAGGCTAGGCATGAGTTTCCAGCCTGCCATTGTTGCATTCTACAGGTTCTGAAATTTGGAAGGCCATTTTTAACAGGGCAAACAAACAGTGCTGCATGTATTAGTCTTTACAGTGATACAAGGCTGTTAATTGCTACAGCCAGTGGGATTCCTGGCTGGAGGAAAACTGACTAGGGGCCCTGTGAGTAAAGACTGCGAGTTGTTAAATGGATCTTTTCTGAGTTTGGATTTTTCCACCTCTATAAGGAAGTCAAAACTACTGAAGTTATTATAGTGTTTCATTCTTAGTGTTAAATAAAACTTAGTTTTACCTAGTTGCCCATTTAACGGATGAGCAATCCTGCTAATTTAGTCTCATTTTGGGCTTTATGTGTTCGGTTTTAGGGTGGTTTTGTTTATTGGGGCGTGGGGGTGTTAGAGTTTGTTCATTGCATTTAACTCAGTAGGCTGACATGATACACGAGTAATTCTAGTCTGAAGTGTCCAAATACAGAATGCTTGGTTAAAAACTTTTCAGGCTCTCTGGTAATGGATCAGGTTCTTTACATGGGTAGCGAACTACAGACAAAGCTGTAAATGCAAATAGTTGTGATTTGGGTGTCATTTTGTGACCCAAGGAGATTAGCACTTAAAGGACTGATTCCTTGAAGCATCACAGATTATACCAGGTTTAGGCATCCGCTTCAGCTGACAGAAGGGATCTCCTCAGTTAATTTAAGGAAAAAAATAATGTGGCCAAAATGCTTTGCATGGAACGGGACGTTTACGCAAGTTTGGTGAACTCAGCTGAGATTTTCGTTATTGTTTGCTGGGCTAGCTGATAATTGCAAGCTATCAATATGTAGTCTTGAGTTAACGGAGCAACGTTTGGAAAAGTCTGTGATGAGTGCTTGAGTGCTGTACAAATTATCTATATTGTGGTCACTGCAAAATGTGTCTGATCTAGTGATTTGAGTTAAAAGAAAAGGGTTTTCAGGAATCTGACCTGGAGGTAAGTGGTGGCTGGTCATGTCCCAGTTGTAGTACAGATATGTGGGCCTGTTTCCTCTTAGAAACTGTGATATTCCGTGGGAGGTGGAAGGTGATCAAGGTTGTGATTAAAGGTAGGGAAGATGAAAAAGATGGGAAAAGAAAGAGTAGAAAGCTCAGTTAAGGCAGGAGACTAGTATAACTTTGGTTACTTAATCTGTTTTGTATGCCTTGTATGCTGCTGTGACTGACAAGAATTTTGGAGCAACTGTCCTGCTGTGGGGCATGTCAGCAGTTGGGATAGAAATGGTCTGGAATTTAACAATGGATAAGACGTACAACAATAAGAAATCCTTTGGGTGACATGTTATAGAATATTTAAAAGATTCCAGATACCCACATCTTATAAGTGCATTTATGGCAATCCTTTTCCCTGCTATAGAAAAAATTAATTAGTTCCTGCTTAGTGTACTTGGTGCAGAGAGAAATCTGCTTCTACTGTTGTAGAGGACTGGCACTTTTCTAGTCACTTCTCTAATTCTTTAACTGTCCTCTCCACAGATGTAAAATACGAGCACTTAGGAAGTACTGAGTGACTAGTCAGTCGTTTTGATATGTGTGTATAATTTTATCTTCTCACCCCATGATAATTTGGCAGAGGTCCATGTTTTATCTGTGAAACAACTCTGTAGCTTATGAATATTGCTGTAATACTTGGAAATACAAGATATTTATGTGTTAAACCCTGTAAGAACCCTGAGTTCAAGTTTTTATTTATTACTTTAACTTTCTTAGTAGTTTTTGAAGGACCAAAAAAATGCTATGTCTTGAAGCTTATTTTTTCTACAATCAGACTTTTTGGAAATTGGTACTACTAGGTGGCTGATCAGTTTTTTTCTGATTGGTAAAAACGTTGAAATGAAAGGTTTTGTGATGAAACAAGAACAGTGTAGGGATAACTTTCTTGACTGCAGAAAAGAGTGTCAGTGTAATAATCTCTGCTAATGGGGTTTTAATTTAGGTAAAATCCTGTCTAGCAAAAGCTTTTGAAAAACATGCTGATGGAACAGTGATTCCTAGATTTTTTTGACTATATGTGGGGTTAAGCTTTGTGGTTGTATTTTGTTAAATAGTTCCAGTGAGATACTGCAGTTCTGGGCTGTAGTTTTGTGCATCAGTATTATCAGATGAAGCATAACAGCAAGTAATGAGCATTTATATGTGTGTATCAAAACAACTGGTGCACTTCAAGTCATGAATCTCTTTGAAATTGCATTATGCTTATATTCTCAAGGATTGTGGAGGAAATAGTCTTTGTTATTATTTAGTGTTAAGAAGTGCTCCCTTTCAGCCATCACATGGAAATTCTGCGAGTCCTTGTTGCACTACACAGGGTGGTTAACTTTCATAAGCAAGTTGTGCTCTCTGAACTGCTCAGTTCATAGTTTAGTTCCAGTTTGAATGTCCTACAGGTGGTTTTTAATGTTCTGTACATGACCAAATTTTGTGCTCCTTGTATTTGTCAGCATCTTCTGGTAGAGCCCTGATTTTGGACTAACAGATACCTGGTGTTTCTAAAAGTGTTGGACTGGATTTTTGTGCAGGTGAGTATGCTGTAAGAACTGGTTAGGTGTTGGAAATCCCAAATACTTTTACAGACATAATTGCAAGAATGAACGTAGAGTATTTTATAGTGGATTACGCTTAAGAAACATACGAGAGGTTCTTGGAGTATTTTCAACAGTCAGCCTATAAGCTTGGCACACTTAAGACCTTGGGGAAAACAGACTAGAGGTGCTAAAAAAAAAAATTGGCTCTTCATTCTTTCCCAGTCTCTGTGCTTTAATAGCTGGGTGCCCAGGGCCATTCAGAGAAGTAGTTCTTTTCTGTTCTCCCGATTCACGAGTCTCCATTTGCAGAAACTCACTGATCCCAGGTTAAAATCCAAATGGTTGAGTTATTAATACATCCTAGCAGGTAGCATTTGAGAGGTTGCTTTAGCAGGGTAGTGAAAGCAGGTTTTGCTCAGAGAGACTGCACTAGCAATCTGTAGTAATACGGGTTATCCACAGAGATCAGTGCAAACAAAAGTGAGCATGTTCTTTGTCTGACCAGGTCTGAGTCAGCTTCTGTTTGAAGCTGTATTCTGAATTAGGAAGATTCTTTATTTCCTAGCAACTTGCATCTAAGGATTGTAATAATCACTTTGACAACAGATGTTCACTTGTTGGTATCTACTATTCAAAGTTATTTTTGTCCCTTTTTAAAGTTTGTTTATTAAATTGAACCAATAATGGAACACTCAGTCAGTAGAAAGATGTAGTTATACATGAATTTAAATATATACTGCACTTGGAATTTGGAGGGGAAAACCACATTTACTTATACCATATTTTTATGTGACTATTGTGTTTCTCAACAGGAGGTTAAGGTGGATGGAGGTTAAAACTAAAGAGTAGAGTAGGAGAGGAAAGGGTAGCAAAATCTTTCCTGGAAGAGAACCTTGTATGCTGGGGAGGCTAGAACTGTGCTTTCTCCAAGAAAGCCTAGAAAATAAAGTAAACTGCTTGGAGTGATAGTGTTTTGCCACTCTTGGGCTCATAAAACTGCAGTAGTTGTATTTGTTGCCAACTTAGTTTCATGATTTATTTTTTGTGCTTTTTATTTAGTGTTTCTGGGTTTGTGTTTTTTTTTGTTTGTTT